AGAGAGAGAGAGAGAGAAATCTTTTTTGCTTTGCCGCAGAGGCAGGTGAATCTCTGTGAATTCAAGATTCAAGACCAGCCTGGTCTACAGAGAGAGTCCTATCTAGGACAGCCAGGACTACACAGAGAAACCCTGTCTCAAAAAAACAAGAACAAAAGAAAAACCCCACAAAACAACAACAACAAAAAACAAAAACCGAAAAAACCAAACCAGAAAAACCCAAACTTTGTTTTAAAGGAAGAAATAAAATGTTCTGTGGTTCTAGGCTCTGAGTTTTGGCATTCTAGGATGGTAGTCTGAGCAACTCACACATCGCCCAGCCAATGCCAGGTTTGCCTGGCAAGTGAGCTAACTGCAGGCATGTATGCTTTTATGTGCTTGGTGTGTCTGGCCTGTGTTCTTTGCTCTTGCTATTATCGTCTAAGAAACAGACATGTCATGGAAGTCACTGGCCCATGACATAGAGAATGAAGAAACACATAGGAGCTGGCATAAATGTGGCTTGTCACCTGGAGCCAAGATAGGCTGAGCCTGGCCAACTGCAGTAGAAGCCTTTGAACCTACAAAAAAGAAGTGACTTCATGAAGCCAGTGGGGCTATGGGGTTGATGGTTATGAGCAAGAGCTGACTGAGAACCAGGAGCTGAGATACCATTGCTATCCATGGTAACTCATGGGTGAGGTTGAGCACAGAGAGCCTGACTTGCCCAAGCTCACCCGACAGCAGGTGCCACATCTAATGGGTGAACCCCGGGTAGTCTGACCCCAGGTGTCCAGCCTTAAGGTTGGCCATGGTTCTTGTGGTGTTTAGATGACAATGTCCTCTGTGGGCTCAGATATTTGAGTACTTGGTCCCCAGTGGGTGGTACTGTTTGGGAAGTTTAGGAGGTGTGGTCTTGCTGGAGGAGGCTTTGAGGTTCTAAAGCCAGGCACTATGCCCAGTGCACGCTCTCTGCTTTGGGCTTGCCATTTAAGGTGTGAGCCCTCAGCTTCTGCTGCCGCTGCCGCGTCTTCCACACGCAGCCTCCACACCACCGCCATGGGCTCTAGCCATGTGACTCGTAAGCCCAAATATGCGCTTTCTTCTATCAGTTGCTTTTTCAGCAGTAGAAAAGCAGCATCGTTTGATCCAGCGATGTAATAAACCCACCTGTTGACTTGTTCACTTAATCAGCGAACTAAATAGCACACAAACAGCTTTCCAGTCCCTCTGCCTCATAACACACCTGTCTTGATCTTTCTTAGCAGTCATCAGTCAGTGCTATTTATGTGTCTGTTTCCAACTCACTTGCTAGATTTTATTTTCCATAAAGGCAAAGATTATATACATATGTGTGTGTGTGTGTGTGTGTGTGTGTGTGTGTGTGTGTGTTGTTTTATTTTGAATTGTGTGTGGTTTTCACATGCATGTGTGGAAGTCAGAGGACAATTTGAGGGAGTCAGTTCTCCCATCCATTGTGTAGGTTCCAGGGATCAAACTCAGATCATCAGGCTTGGCAGCAGGCGCCCTCCCCCTGCTGGCTCTGTCCTCGGCTCTTTTGAGTTATGTCCTGGGCAGTGGAACTTCTGGGTAATGATGCCTCACCGTCAACTTGCTGTGTGCCTTTGGTTCAGTCATGTCCGCTCTTTGGAACTATTTTTTTTTATTACATCTTTAAAATGCAGGTTCCTTTTGATTTTGCTAGGCTTAAAAAGCTGGGCAGACAGACGATGTCACCAAAGGATAAAACAGAAAGGCTGAGGGGGCCAGCCTTGGTCCAGGTTACCTGATAAACAAAGAAGAGCCTGCAGAGGAAGCAGGATTGGGGGTATGTTGGGGGTCGGAGGACCCTTCTCTGGGGCAAGAAGAAAGGCTGAGAATAGGGATGGAGTGAAAAAAGCCGAGCCCAGCATGATGTGTGCACGTCCCTGGGAGGGGTGGGAACCTGTCCCCAGGTGCCAGGCTTATGAGGCTTATTGTAATTGGATGCCAGGGCCAGGTAGTGAGCAGTTTGACCAGGAACCCCACTTGAGAAGGGCCCAGCCTTTTCTGTTTATTATAGAAACCCATCAGTGGTCACAGAGTGCAGGAAGAAGGGAACTGGCTGGAGCCCAGAGTCTGCCATTGTCCCCTTCATGGTAGGGGAATCAATTGCTGCCATTGACAGCATGTATAGTCCAGCTGAGTCAGGTACCATGCCCAGAGTGTCTATGAATGATTCCATTTGGTCCTGACTGACTCTCTGGGGCCAGCTGTGTTATTTCTGCTCCCATTTTATAATGGGAAAGCTGAGCCCAGAAGAGTTAGTTTCTTGCCCCCGGTCACACAGCTACTAGTGTCAGAGCTCAGGTCTAACCTGTACTCCCCTTGCCTGCTGGGGTAGTGGGCACTGCCTTAGATGCAAGTGTCTTCAGCCCCCACCCCCAGTTGTCCTTGATGAGCTCCCTGTATCTTATCAGAAAGCAGGCTCCTAACCAAGCCGGCTCTGAAGGCCTCTGGTAACTAGCCTGCCTCAGGCCATGTCTTCAGCTGTTGTCATCAGGGGCTGAGCCAGAACAGCTGGGAGGGCAAGTGTCTCACCCCATTCCTGGGATGGCAGAGATAATCTGAAAACAGAAAGTATGGGCTGGGCAGAACCTCCTGACCAATGGAAACTCTGAAACTTGCAAGGTTTATATGATGTCGTGTGGTGTGCGTTCATGTGTGTATGTGTGTGTGTGTGTGTGTGTGTGTGTGTGTGTGTGGGGGGAGAGAGAGAGAGAGAGAGAGAGAGAGAGAGAGAGAGAGAGAGAGAGAGAGAGAGATCTGAGAATTGTGGATTTTAGGAAGAGTTACATTTTCCAAACCAACGCAACACGGCAGGCGCCTTCTACTTTTCTCCCTGTGTAATTCCTAAGCCGGGCTCATGCAGTGGGAAGTTGTCTATCTCTGTATCCTGGAGCCCAGCTTGGAAAGAGGCCAGAGTTTTCATCCTCCAGGAGGGTGTTTTAACTTATATCTGGGTTCTTTTGGAATAATATTATTTTGCAATTGAGAGATTTTGAAGTCAGGATGGGAAATGTTTATTAAGTGAAGAGAGCCACAAGGCACCATGGTGCCTGCCTGTAATCCCAGCGCTGAGGGGTGGAGGCAGGAGAGTAAGCTCACGGTCCTCTTTGAGAGGACAGAGAGAATTTGAAGCTAGCCTGGGCTACATGTTCCAAGGAGACTGAGAGACACCAAAACTCAGAAAGCAAATCCTTAGAGAATTATCTGTAACAAGCTACGTCATGTTTGTTCACTGGGGTGGGAGCAGCCATCTTTATCCCAACTCTAACCCCAAGGGGCTTTCAGTGTCCCTGTTCTCACCTGGATTACAGTCAGGTGAGGCAGAATCCATCTCCATGCCTCACACAGCCTGACGTGGAAGCAGGCAGGCCGATGCAAACAGGGCCTATAGTCTCCTTTCCTGGACCAGTCAGGGTGGCGGGAACTTGTGTCTGATCTCGATTTTCATTTCTGTTGGTTAAGAGTGTATACCTGTATCTCTGGTGTCTAGACCTGACTTCTTCCTGGGGTGCCATTTCTTTGGGGACAGGACAGTTTACTCTCTTCTGCTGCCGAGGCTGGGCGTGTGGTACATGCCTCTCATGCTAGCACTTGGGAGGTGGAGGGCAAAGGGCCAGTAGTTTGAAGTCATCCTTGTCTGTGTAGTGAGTTTGAGGCCAGTTTAGGCTATTCCTGTATCCTGTCATCTTCTTGAGTTACCACAATGTTTCCATGGCCATCGTTATCTCCTAGCCCAAGAACAGCCAATCAAGAAATAGATAGCTCTGGGTTGTTGTTATCTAGCTAGCGCTGCTACCCAAACTGGACTACACGTTCCTTCCACTGATGAAGGACACGTAGCTAGACTACATTTCCCAGCCTCCCTGGCAATCAGAGCTGGGTCACATGACTGAATTCTCCCAATGGAAAATGGTTGGAAGGGATGAACGCTAAACCTTGTTTTGACTTAGGAAGCTTCCACTGCTGTGAACCTGTTGTCTTGCTTTCTACCTGTTTTCTGCTGGCCAGAAGTACAGTGACTACCGACCCTCCAGGCCTGGGTCTTCACAGCATGAGAGATCTGGGTTGAAGACCAGCTCAGTCATTTAAAGCTGTGTGGGTTGGGACATGTGACTCACTCTTTGACTTCAGTTTTTTTCTTGGTACCAGTACCTCCTTTGCAAATCCACAGTTCCGACCTTGAAGGCAGTTTCTTCTGGAGCCAAACATGGCCAGGAGCAGAGCCAAACAACCCTCACTACCATGTCCCTGTGTGGCAACAGCTGTGTGAAATTTTTATAGTAACTGTAAAAAGAAAGTCATAAATCAAGGTACTAAAAAAATACATGGGTTAAAAAAAAAGTTGTAACTCACGCTATTTAAAAACATACTACAGGGACTGGTGAGATAGCTCAGTGCTTAAGAGCACTGGTTACTCTTTCAGAGGACTGGGGTTAATGTTCCAGCATCCACTTAGCAGCTCGAAACCATCTGTAACTCCAGGTCCAGGAGATATTCTCTTTCTGGCCTCCATAGGCACCAGACACTCAAGTGGTGCACAGATACACACACAGGCAAAACAAGTATACCCTGAAAATAAAACAAAACCATATCTGGTAGGTGGGTAACAGGGAAAGTGGGGAAGCCACCAGCTAAGCTCTGGGCTGCTGGAAGCTATGAGACTGTTTATATCTTCCCTAAAATGTTTTATATGATGGATCACAAGGATGGAGGTGAGGCAGAATAAAGAGATGTTTGATGGCTGTTCAGAAGGCTAAGCTGGGCTGCTGGGATGGGTGAGCAAATAAAGGCACTTGCTACCGAATCTGATGACCTGAGTTCCATTCCTGGGACTCATGTGGGAGAAGGGGAGAACCAATACTTATATGTTGTTCTATGATTCACACACACACACACACACACACACACACACACACACACACGCACACACAGAGCAGATAAGTGTAAAAGAAGGCTAAAGTTGGCCAAGATAATTGGAGTCTGACTAGCGGTGTTTTACTTTCTCACAACCACAGTTCTAACCAGTTAATCAACCTTGGGGAATCTTGACCATAGGTGTGTTCTTCCCAATGCCCCCATCCATTCCCCACAACTTAAATCTCATAGTTCTTTTGAGAATCAAGAGTCTTCCATTTGAGACAGCTCCAAGGGTTCAGTTGAACTTCAGAGATTCCATGTGTTTCCAGCTGGGGCTTCTATAACCACCGAGGCAAAGCCAAGTCCCCTCTGTCTAATTCAGCTCTCCTTCCACAGAGCCAGCTTCTGAGCTCTGATGGAAGAAAGAATGGGAAGAGATCAGGGAGAGACAATTTGAGATGAGACTTTTTGTTGTTGTTGTTGTTTTGAGACAGGGTTTCTCTGTGTAGCCCTGGCTGTCCTGGAATTCATTTTGTAGACCATGCTGGCCTTGGACTCAGAGATCCACCTGCCTCTGTCTCCTGAATGCTGGAATTAAAAGCATGAACCACCACCACCTGGATGAGATGAGATTTTTGTGGCACATGACCTGTTGGTTTTCTGGCAACCAGAAACCTGTTCCTGGAGGTAGGGACAATATGGAAAGCCTACCACATGCTGTCAGTGCATAGGTTAAAAGCACAATTGGGGTGACCTGGGATTGAGAGGTTATAGGAGCAGATGCACTGGCTGGCGTGGGCAAGCATTTGACAGATGTGGAAGAATCATTATAAATACAAATACAAAAGCAAAGTTGTAGAGTAATGGTTAGGGGGAGGAGGATCATGACAGGCTAGGGTGGAACAGTCACCCATCCCGGTGAAGTGTAAAACCCACAGGGCCTCCTGGACTATGTGTGTTAAGAGCCTCGCAGTTCCTCAGGTGGAGGACGGAAGATGCCGAGGACCAGACTGTAGCTTAATGAGAAGCTGCTGGATCCCAAGTCCAGAAGCTGCTCGTGGGTCAGGGCTGCGGGAGAGCATGGGATCCGGATGATTGGCACATGGGTGGGGACTTTTTGTGGGTGCATTTGACAATCTCAAGTCTCTACGTCCTCACTAGCCCTCTGGCTCTGCACACTTGGCCCACTCCTGGTTAAAGGTTGTGGTCCCACCTGCTGGTAGAGACAGGCCTCAGGCTTGCAAAACAGAAAGCATCTACCCTGAGACAGACATCCGCCTTGACTGGGATCAAGATGTGATTGTGCTGCAACTTAGGGAAGTAAAGAATGGTGCTGGAGAGCACTGTCCCACAGGCACGAGAACGGTTACCATTTTCATCAGAGCAGCCATGACAACACTCAAGACACCCTTGAGGCAGGACTGTTGACATTCTCTCCTAGGAAAGATGAGGAGACTCACTAGAGCCCCACCCGAGGTTTCAGCCACTCCCTGCAGCAGTAAGTAATTTCCCTCAACTGCACATAGTCTCAAGATCGTGGGGCGGGGGCGGGAGGCCACGGGGCGGGGCTAGTACATAGACTGTGGAAGGTTCATCCATGCTGGGTGAGATTTTTCAGTGATGTGACAGCTTTGAGGTCACCTGAGCTCTGGTGTGTAGCCATTATCCATGCTCTATAAGTAAGCCCAATAAACTCCTCATTGGTTCTCCAAGCTGACGCTGAACTTTGGAGCAATTGTTATTTCGATCTGTCATTGGTGTGCGGCCGATGGGGAGCAGAGACTTGTTTACATCTCCCCAGGAAAGGGTCACAAAGCAGATGTTGTGCCAAGCAGGCTGCAGGATCACTGCTGACTTGCAGGGATTGATGACAAAGGCCCCTGGGCCGGAGGCAGTGTGGTGCCAAGTGGGAACAGGAGAGGTCCACCAGGGATACAGGATTTCACAGCCTTGCAAGGTCTTCAGGAAGGATGCTCACTGCTGCTAAGATGACACTTGGGGACATCCAGGTAGGACTCATCTCAGTGAATAAGAAATGTCAGAACCCCAGCTGCTGCCCCAGCTCCAAGGACTCCTGGCGATGGTGCATTTCTCAGGTGCTGGTGAGAGAGGGTCAATGGTGGGTGGCGTGGTCCAGAAGCTCCATGATGGCTGACCTCTAGAAGCCAAGGCTGGCAATAATAGTTGCTGTGATTGGACTGTCTTCCCTGGTATCAATAGGGAAGAGGGGAGCTTGAGATAATGACACCCCTTGGTGGAACTTAAAATTATGAGCAAGGTGGGGAAAATTACTGTAAGACGGGAGTGGCAGGTGGAAGTCTGAACAGCACTCGGCAGATAGTTATCTGGTGTTCCCAGAACGAGACAGAGGAGCAGGCAGCAAGGGTACTGGCGTAATTTACACCATCAGAAGGATTCAATGGACCATCAGAGACTGAAGACAGACACTGTGACAGGAAAAGGCCACAGTTGTTTACTGAGCTAGAGTGCACACCAGACCCACTCTTCCAAAGGGAGGTTACCCATCCCCAAAGTTGCTGCCACACTTGACCGTATGGCACTGATAGCCTGGTTATTTATTTCCAAAGAGACCCATGGCCACTTCCTGGAGTCACAGTGCCTCTTTGAAGGAAGAATAACCAGACCTTTCTGAGACTGTTGGATGCAGGGTCCAAGATCTGCACAGCATCCCAGTTGGAGAAGCAGTGGGTGGAATCCCGACAGAATGCTGCCCAAGCTTGGTGCAGCATGTGTTTCTCCACAGAGTTCACAGAGTCATTCCACTTCCTGGCTCCGAGTCGAAGTCTGGGTGGGATATGGTGTCTCAGCCGGACCCAGTGTAAAACGAAACATCAAGCCAATTGTCTGGGAAATCGGAAACTGGGGAGATTCGCAAGGCCCCTCCCAGTTTCATAGACGAAGAGGAGGGGACTGACCAGCAGATCTGAGAGGGATTCCTCAGACAGCTTTTGTGAGTTGTCGCCCCTGCTGGGGTGGGCTTTTCAGTGATTTGGCTGTTTAGAGTCATCCCTGTTTCCATAAGTGACTTCCCAGCCATATTCCTGTTAGAAATCTCAGTAAACGATTGGATTTTGATAAAATCATTACTTGGTCTGTTGTGGGTTCCCTTTCTGGGGTTGATAAACGTGTGTGAAGTCTCCCTAGGAAAAAGTCTGTCACATAACACCAACCAATGCCATATCCCAGGGGAGGGGTGGGGTGGGCAGGGGCAGAAGTGAGCATGGCCAGTAAAGTCCCAAGATGTCCAAGATGTATGGGGGCAGTCCTTAAGTTATCAATTCGCTGGTTTGGTGCCTACAAAGTATGTTCTAGAAGACATTGAGTGGATGTCTACAGAAGCAGAACCATGGCAGCTAAGGCGGCTTCAGTGCCCACAGCACCTCAGCCAGGGCAGTCAGACACACATCTGCCTCCCGATGTGGCAAACGCCCAGTTTTCCATTCCTGCTATGGATGATCCAAATGGTTCACAAAGGGACCTGGGAACTGTGGCAGGAAAAGATGCCAGGTTAGTGAACATGCACAGATCTGTTTTATGTGCATACTGACATTGCCACTCTGTGTCACCATGGAATGTGAGAGCGGTTCTCAGCTTCAGCATTTGGTGACCTGTGAGGTATTAGTTACTCATTGTTGTGACAATAATGTCTGACCAAGGCTATGGGAGGAAGGAAGGAGGGAGGGAAGGAATGAAGGAGGGAGGGAGGGAGGAGGAGGGAAGAAAGGGGAGGGGTTGGTTATTTTGGGCTCACAGTTCAAGGAAGGGTGGCAGCAGGAGCAGGAGGCAGCTGGTCACACTGTATCTGCAGTCAGGAAGCAGAGAGAGTTAAACACTGCTGTTCATTCAGTTCACTTTCTCCTCTTGTGTTTTATTTAGAACCCCAGCCCACAGGACAGTGCTGCCAACATCTGGCAAGGGTCATCCTTGTTTCAGTTAAACTACTCTGGAAACACCCACACAGATGCGCCCAGAGGTATGTCTCCTGGGTGGTTCCAAATCTACTCCACCTCACACCTCCCACATATCAGAAGGAAGCTCGGCATCAGACAAGCCTCTGGGGCTTCCATGAGCAAGACACCACACACCTGACAAATGCTACTCACCCCACGCCATTTTACCAAGTGACATGAGGGCTGGCATCTTTGAGACAGCCCCAGGCAGAGAGGGCTCTGCAACAGCTCCAGACTGAGGACAAGCAGCCCAGCAGATTTGGGTGACAGATGGATCTGTGGTGGGCAAAGACACTATGAATTTATGGCGAGCCCCAATAGGAGAGTGGCAACACAGATCCCCAGGGTTCTGGAACAAGGCCCTGCCATCTGGAGTGGAAAATGATGCAGTGTTTGAAAAATAGCTTTCACACGGGGCTTGGGAGCTGTGGAGCCAGGTTCAGCCTGATAGAGACAGCTTCTATGACACTTCCTGAGCACAGAGGGCCAATCTGTAGGACATACCCACATGCAAATGAATGATGGTTACATGGTGCTGGGTCTCCAGGAGGTGCCATAGGCAGACGGACGGATGTGGGGACTGAGAGTGAAAGGGAGAGCGGCTAACGGTCTTACTCAGTGACTCACTCAGCCACCTCCACCGCGTCCTCCTCCTCCTCCTCCCCCTCCTCCTTCCCCCTCCTCTCCCTCCTTCTCCTCCTCCTCCCCGCTCCTCCTCCTCTCCCCTCCTCCCCCTCCTCCTCCCCCTCCTCCTTCCCCCTCCTCTCCCTCCCTCTCCTCCCCCTCCTCATCCGTCCCCCCCCCCCTCCTCCCCCTCCTCCTCCCCCTCCTCCTTCCCCCTCCTCTCCCTCCCTCTCCTCCCCCTCCCCGCTCCTCCTCCTCTCCCCTCCTCCCCCTCCCCCTCCTCCCCTCCCCTCTCTTCCCCTCCCCCCTCCTCCCCCTCCTTCTTGTGTGTATGCTCACATGATGCGTGTGTGGGGTGCACATTGCACTGTGCATGTGTGGAGGTCATAGGACAACTTTGTAAGGAGTCTGTTCTCTTTTTTCACCTTTCTGTGGGTTCCAGGCTTTGAACTCCTCGTTCACAGTCCTGGCTTGTGCAGCCAGTGACTTTTTCTGCTGAGCCATTTTGGGGAATATTGTTCTTTTTTGTTTTGTGAGTTTTCAAGACAGGATTTCTCTGTGTAGTCTTGGCTGTCCTGGAACTCACACTGTAGACCAGGCTGACCTCGAACTCAGAGATCCGGCTGCCTCTGCCTCCTGAGTACTGGATTAAAGGCTTGTGCCACCACCGTGACCTGCTTTGTTTTTAACGTCTTAGACACAGGTTAAGCTCTGTGTGTCTAGAAGTCTCCTCTGGTTGCCAGACAGGGACATTTTCACCAGGATACACAGTGATGCTCTCATTAAACTTTAACCTATACCTGCCACCTGGCCATTTCTTTGTGCCGAAAGGCCAGAGGGTTAGGAAAGAGTGACCACATTACCAGAGTCGTTGACTTGGTCAGTTGGCAGGAGAAAGTAGGATGGCCTCCACACACCGTGGGCAGGGAGACCAGTGGGGAGTGTCCCTTGGTGTCCTCTAGGCCCTCAACTCCCTGCTTTTTAAATTTTGTCTAATGTGTATAGATGTTTGTCTGCGTGTATGTGTGTGCACTGTGTGTATCTGGTGCCTGCTGAGGTCAGAGAGGATGTCACCAGGGACTGGAATCATGGATGGTTGCAAGTCATTATGTGGGTGCTGGGAACCAAACCCAGGCCCTCTGCAAAAGCAGCAAGTGCTCCTAACTGCTGAACCATTTTTTTTTTTAAGCATCTTACTATCTAGCCCAGACTAGCTTCAAATAAGAAATTCTGCTGTTTCAGCATCCCGAGTGCTGGGGCCACAGGCATGTGCAACCTAATTCCGGCCTCTCCTTGGCCATCTTTCACTATGGATGAATAATTCAGCAGCTGCAAACTGAGAAGGACATGGTGACTAGGGCCCCACTAGGTAAAGCCTTTAAAGAAGCTGGTCTCTAAGGTCAAGGGGACATTGGAGTGAAGGGAGAAAACATGTGTGGTCAGTGGGAAAGGTTTAAAGAATTGAGGGGGGCACACATGCTTCCTTTCCTCCCTGGCTCCCTGTCGCCTGGCTAGGTGGATCTGTGAGTACTATTTCTTAATAAAATATCTGTTATCTATCTGATCTGACTCCACGTTTTATCCCCCAATATTGGAGGGAGTCAGGGGAGTCAATGGAATTACCCTTGAGAAGAGCTGCAGTTACCATCAAACTGTACTCAACCCAGGGGGCTGCAACTTCCTTCTTCCTTCCTTCCTTCCTTCCTTCCTTCCTTCCTTCCTTCCTTCCTTCCTTCCTCCTCCCCCTCCCTCACACCCCCTTTTCTTCCTCTCCTCCTTTCTCTCTTCCTCCCCTCTTCCTCCTTCTCCCTTTCCTCTACTTTTTTTTGGGGGGGTTATTTTGCCCGTAGTTCTAAAGGTTTCACTCCATCCTGGTGGGAAGGTGCCTGGTGGAGCAGAGCTGCCGACACCATGGTGAGCAGGAAGCAGAGACAGTGAGTGTCTGTGTCACAGAGGTGACTTGTTGGGTAAGGGAATTTGCCACCAAGCCCGACCACCGGAGTTCAATCAAGGACCCTTAGGGTGGAAGGATGGAACCATTTCCTTCAAGCCCTCCTGCCTCCTCCTGCTCTATGAGACCTGCACCCTCACCCCTCCCCAGGAAAAAATAATAAAAAGAGACTGCCTGGGTTGTGTTCTCTTAGCAACTTTTTCTGAGAGGAAGAGACCAAGGAGAATTCCAGAATCCTCAACCCTTCCTGATGTTCACTCTCTCTTCTCCTGTGCCTCTTCTGAGGTCCCAGACTGAGGAAATCAGAAGAAATGCCAGACTCCAGTCTAGACCGAACAGTGAACAGCGTCTGGGTTCCTTAGGAGAATGTTTGGGGCCTTGCTGTCACACCCTGTCCTCCCCTCTGGCGATTGGGGGAAGCCAGCCCCCTTCTCCTTGGCCTCTCCCCTCTCTGCCTCTGCCCTCTCTTGCACTCCTAGGATCTCAGGGGCCTCAGCCTGCAGTGATCTTGGTGGTGTTCATGCAACTCAGTTGCTGGCTGATATCCACACATGGTTTGTTATTGCTACTTTTGATTAAATTTTCAATCTCTTTTTTTGGTTTATTTCTCCTGGGTCTCCTGGCTAGCATGGGGCAAGGAGAATGTGGAGGTAGCTGAACTTTGGGGGCAGGCTGGGAAGCCAGATGATGGGAGTGGTGGGGGACGATGGCCATTTGTGGTTTGGGAGAGGAACCTGATACCATCAATATCAATAGCCACGTGCAGGGGAGGGGCTTCTGGTAGACGCACCCCCACTTCCTGGAGTTCCTTCCCAGCTCCTGCCAACCCTCATCTCCTTAGTCTTATAGTCTGTTGGCAGCACCACCTGCATGCCTGCACATGCTACCCAAGGGCCAGACCTGTGGCTCTGCTTGTCACATCTTGTGACACTGGAGTGTCAGGCAGTCACTCATCAGTGCTGTCTTTGTGGCTCCCAAACTGGTCCTGGGGAGGCCAGGGCAACTTCAGTCCTTTCCACATGTCCTTCTCATCAGCCTCTGCAGGAAAGGGAGTGCCTGGGGTGGTCAGAGGATGAGAATCTGGTCTTGGGTGAGCATCCTGAAACCCACTGATCTGAGCAGTCCTGTGACCTTGTACAAGTGTCACAGGTTTGACAGGTTCAAAACCACAAATACTTTGAAAAAGTTAATGCTTCTACATTTTTTCCTTATTCTGTCTCCAGGCATTTCTGAAGCCATGAATGGGAGGGTCTCCTCCTCCTCCTCCTCCTCCTCCTCTTCCTCCTCCTCCTCTGATTGGCAAAGTCACTTGAAGTGACAATGGGGACTTCAAACTGGAGTGTGGAGGGAGCATGCCAGTCAGGTGGCTGGGAAGGGAAGGGGAGGGACATGGAGTGCTCTGGCTCGTCCTCAAAGGGCCTTCAGGTGCTTGGAGGAGGCACAGCCCCCTTCACTGCCCCTCTGTGCCTCACAGAAATGCACCAGGCTGACACTGCCCACTCCCCCTTCCCCCTTTTTTCTTCTGATCATCTGGAAAAACTGCAGACATCTGAGTCTAGGACACCCACAATCGGCACCAGTCTCCCAGGATCAAGGACCCTTTGCCCAGGAACAGAACACTGAGGTTGTGTGGTTAGCATCGCCGAGGGCTTTAACTGGGATCCACCGACGTCCTCATCTGAGCTGTTTGTACTTAGATCTCCCCATTGCTGGCCAAGCACTGTGCTAGCTGCTGGGATCCCTGTAAGGACCACACATTGCATTTGAGCATCTGTCCCTTTGGTTTGCTATAACCTAGGCTTCCCATCCTTCTTTTAATTGACATTTTGAAGATCTCATATCTGATGTCTTGTAAAATGCCAGCGACCTGAATGGGTCTGATTGTTTCCTCCTGATTCGGTTCAGTTCAAACGCTTTGGGCTGTGAATACTAAATAGGGGATGTCATGTCCTTATTACAGCATTACCCAACGGGGCATGTAATGTCCCGTTTGTCTATTTTTGGTGACCTACATTGGATCGGTGGTGAAGGTGATGGAGGCCAGATTGTTCCTTTGGGGAAGTCATCACTTCCCATTTGTAACGGATGCGTAATCTTGATGATATGGAGAGGCCTGCGAATATTCTCCTGTACCCACTGACTGCTCACCTGGTTAGGAGCTGGGAGACTCATCTGTCTCTTAAAGGGCCAGCACTTCTGCTGGTGTATGGCTCTTATGCAAGGCCACACAGGAGTCCAGGTGGGTTACTTCTTGAGTGTGACAACCAAAGACTATCCTTGGTCACTTGACTCTTGCCACCAACATTTTCTTTTGTTCTTGACCACAGGGGCTGGCTTCTGTTCCCAGAGAGTTATTTTTCCACCAGCTGCAGAATCTTGGTCTCTGAGGACAGCCCAGTGTGATGTCTGCTAGTCCTCTAGGTGAGCCAGCTGTGTGTGTGTGTGTGTGTGTGTGTGTGTATGTGTGAGTGTGTGTTTGTGTGTGTGTGAGTGTGTGTGTGATGTGAGTGTGTGTGTGTGAGTGTGTGTTTGTGTGTGTGAGAGAGTGTGAGTGTGTGTGTGAGTGTTGTGAGTGTGAGTGTGTGTGTGTGTGAGTGTGTGTGAGTGTGTGTGTGGGAGGGTGGGTGTGTGGGTGGGTGTTAGGAACTTGAGACTCAGAAACAGCACATCTGCTGTATGCCAGGGAGCTGCAGGGCACTGGGCTCTGGCCTTGGTTTCCATAGCAATGGGCAACATCCTTCTGCAGTCTGCTTCTCTCTAGACCATCTGATGGTGATAGGGTTGGGGACTCTGGCCCAGTGACAGGAGGTGGGGAGTAGACTTCACCAAACCAACACTGAATAGCTTAGGGAGGAGGATCCCCAGCTGGCTGGTGGATATCTTGAAAACAACTTTTGGCTATAGTCCTTCTCATTGTGCTACAGGGACCCCCCATTTACTGTAGAATGGATTTGAACACCAGCAAAGCTTATAGCCACATCCGGGTGGCAGTTGAAGTTTTTTTTTTGTGTGTAAATCCCACTCAAATCCTTGACCTGCTTTGGTCTAGACCTTCTACATTTGTATGTGGTCATGTCTTGCTCCACAAGTGAGACACTGGAGGTCACTATCCCACCTTATGGGAACAGGTACTGAGGCTCATGGGGTTTTTCTTAGGGACTTGTGGGGGTCACATGGCTGGCAAAGGATGATGCTATAACAGACACTCAGGGTATGATGCAACGCTGAGCATGAAGACAGGCAGGTTAGGCCAGTTGGCCAAAGAGAAGGCTCACAGATGGCCCCGGCCAGGTCTCCCCAGCGCCAGCGCCAGCGCATGTCACCAGAGGTTCCCTGTTCTCAGTTCACCAATGCTCTCAAGGGAATTTATTCCAATTGAAGTTCCCAGAGATGGGAGTTTCTATCTGAAAGGTAGGGAAGCGAAGCACTGGACCTAGGAAGACTTTCTCTCCTCCTTCCTGTGGCCTAGAATGTAGTTGTGACAGACGGAGTGTCATCAGCCAAAATGAATGAAGAGGTAACCTTGAGGATGCTGGAGCAGAAACAGAAAGACCTAGAGTCATAACAGCTTGCTGGAAAGCCCTTCCTAGCTCAACACCATCCACATCTGGACTTTTGTGAATGACAGAAACCCTTGTGTGCTTGGGTTAGAGGTTCTGATGCCTACAGGAACTGGTACTTGTATGCAACGCATCAAGCAATGAGGACATCAATTAGTACACCAAGAAAACACATTCTTCTAAGACTGTGTACTTGTATCCATCCATCCACTGACCCACCAACCCATCCACCCATCCACCTGCTCATTCTGTCATCTGTCTGTCTACCCACTCTTCCTCTACCCACCCACCCACCCATCCACCCACCCCAAACCACCAAAACTATCTATCCACCCCAAACCATCTATTCACTGAGCCAACATGTATTGAGGGATCCATATTTTAAGTGCTCTCATAGGTTCTGGGGACAAAAAAGTAAATGAGAAATGGAACCTTCTTCAGAGGAACCTGGGAGGGATGGCCATCCCGGGTAGGGGACAAGGGAACCATGGGAAGTGTCCATCTTGAGGGGATGTTTGGACTGTAGGGTGAGTGGGGACTATTGATGATAGGTAGAGGGGAAACCCTGGGGAGGGAGGCGGGTGTTTGGGAGATTAGAAGCCAGAAGTGCGATGTGTGTCTTCCTGCTAGCTGAGTGTGACTACCACCACAAGGGGGTCTAACTGGGCCCAGGAGGCCACGAAGCGAAAGGTGGCAGGACTGTGGGGCTGATCTCTCTGAGGTTCCCATGGCATCTTCCTGCTTCCATTTTCCCCTTTCCAGAACCCTGGGAGTCAGGAGAAGAAAACTGCTCTTTGCACGTGACCCTCGAGGCTCGGAGGTTGCAAGAACACGCGTGAACACACAAAGCCTTTCTGAGCCATCTTAGATTTCTGGCCCTAACTTGTCTCCAGTCCTTAAACTCACCCTAAACTACCTCTGAGGACCCTCCTCGCCCATCTGGCCACAGGAAGAAATAGGAGCTGTAAGACCCTCAGAAAGCTGAGGCTTCCAGAATCTTAGCCCAGGACGGCGGCCACCCCAAACACAGAATGGAGGCGAAAGCTTGATGCAAACTGTATGAGGCTTTATTGTAATTTAACGAGCTAACCCCATGTTAGCTCGGATCTTTCCCCCCCCCGCCATGGCGGACGGCTAGAAAAGCCGGCTTGAAGCTGCTGCGCCTAGATCTTTATAGGGCAGCGTAAGGGGAGTGTCTAGGGGTATGCACAGTCTCACGATTGGTGTGCCTCCAGGCTTGGAGGGCTTGCCCTGTGTTGATTGGCCAACTGGTTGTTATGGCCCATAGGCCCTCCCAGGGTAGTTGCTATGCTCTCTACGTCATTGCTGTGCGCTTGTCCGTAAAGCACACCCAGGGTCGTAAAGCATAGCGCCACCAGCTAACCTCTGATTGGCTCCCTGTCACGAGGCAGGCATCTGACTTTCTAGTGTCTAGGTCAAGGTCATAGAAACACGTGTTCGGCCATTATGGCTGTCAAAAGGGAAGCCGGTTCCTTCAGGAGCCACATGGCAACTCCCTGGCAGCCATGGCTTCTCTCCAGTTCAGTTCTCTGCTCCTCCTGGCACCAGCCATGGCCTAGTGTGAGGTGGTCAGCCTCTCCCTGTTCGTTACTCCTTCAGGTTAATCCTCTAGTACATCAGTGGGACTTTCTTTTGGGGCTTTGGGGTGTGCCAGGGGCTCTTGGCAGCTTGCTTGTGACCAGCTGGGCTAACCGTCATCCTGCCATGCTTACTTTTCATGTGCCCTCCTGCCTCAGGGTGGCCCTCTGCTGCAACTGGCAGCCATTCCTCTTTAAAACAATTTTTTTAAACTTGTATTTATTTATTGTATGTGTGTATGCAGGCCACAGCATGTGTGTGAAAGCCAGAGGACAACTTGTAGGAGTTAATTCTCTCCTTCTACTTTGCAGGTCCAGGGACCAAACTCAGATTGTGAGTTTTAACACCCCCCGCCCCCCGCGCCCCCCAGCCATCTCCTGGGGCCCTAATTTGCTTCTCTTCTCCCTGCACCCCTGACTGAGGAAGCATGGTGTGGGAATCTCACAGACTCCCCACCAGAAGGACTTGGTTGTCACAGTGATGAGCCTTTGTTCCCAACTCCCCAAGGACACAGCCCAATGCCCTAGGCCCTCACCAGCTCTGTTTCCCTGCCTGCCACCCACACAAAGGCCTTGGCTGCAGACGGGCATGTACTGGGAATGTTAACATCAGCACAGACAGAACCTGGGGCCCAGCCGGCTGCTCAGGGACTATGAGCCTTTGTTTGTTTGTTTGTTTAACTGCCCTGTGTCACTGGGGCCAGAGGAACCTCCTCACAGGTGTGTCCCACATTCCCACTCCCCTCACTGCCAGCTTGCTATCTGGGGACATGCTGAGGGTGAAGGGACCAGCTCCCCTTTCGGCAGCCATAACAGCCGAACACGTGCTTGCCATAAACTTGCCTTGGTCACTTAGAGGTCAGATGCCTGCCTTGTAACAAGGAACCAATCAGAAGTTAGCTGGTGGCGCTATGCTTTACGACCCTGGGTGTGCTTTACAGACAAGCGCACAGCAATGATCCACAAAGCATAGCAACCACCCTGGGAGGGCCTATGGGCCATAACAACCAGTTGGCCAATCAGCACAGGGCACGCCCTCCAAGCCTGGAGGCACACCAATCGTGAGCCTGTGCGTACCCCTAGACACTCCCCTTACGCTGCCCTATAAGATCTCTTGGGAGGCCCTAGGAGCTGTCTTTTGCTAGCCATCCGCCATGGCGGGAGGGGGAAAGAACCGGGCTAACATGGGGT